ACTGCAGCCATCACTGGTGACGTGCAAGTGACAGTGTCCAACCAGAGAAATGCAAGACTTGCTCCTGGATTTAGAGCATGCCCCAGCTGGGCCATAGGTACTGGACCCCTGCACTTTGGCAAAGCTGCTTTTGCACTGGAGCAGTGACAAAGTGCTCAGTTCCTGCAGCAGACACAGCCTCAGTGCTTGCTCTCAACTCTCAACAGTGCTCTGAGAGTTGCAGGTGCCACTTGGACAGGCTCTGCCAGTCATAAGACCTCAGAAAGCGAGACTGGATACAAGAACTGCCATGCCACCTACAGGCAATCCTCCCGATTTTAGTTTTAATACATGTACTACTGTTCTGTATTAACAACATCAACATGAATTAGGAAATAGCATGGCATGTGCCAGCCATAAATCAGAAAATCAGGAATGTAATTTTTCAATTTGGATGCATTTCACAGCTAATGCCAACAGTAAAGAGGAATGTAAATCTGTTTTTCCTTTGCCTGACTGGCAAGTTAGATGAGCAAAGCAAGAAACTGGTCAGAAGTAATTAAAGAAAATAATTTTAAAAGACAGTTTTATGGACACAGGTGGCCCCTAACAGCAGCATTCCCTCTGCCTTTCAGGCCATATGAGTAGGCAAGAACTCCCTCTCTAGACTGGTAAGCACCAGGAGTATCTGCTGCACTGCCTTCTGGAACAAAGAGAAGCTGTAAAGATGTTTCAGCATGAAGTTTAAATACTGGATCAGAGTGGCCCATCAGAAATTACACATCCAAATAACAACACTTCAGCACTTTGGGAGCTCCCTGCTTAGCTAAAACAAAGGTGCTGATGCAACAGCCAGGATGGCATCCAGGGTGCAACAATTCAATGCACTGCACAATTTACTGGACAAGGGAATCTTACAGCTGGTATTCCCCAGAATGTCTTCAGTGGAGCCTGCTCACCCTCTCAGACTCTAAACATTCAACATAAAAACACCCAGAGCATTTCTAGAGGAAGGGGTACAAAGACAAATCTTCACAGCTGCATGCTCATGTGCTCCGAGAGCATCCACAACCCTGTGTTAATATTTGACAGCTTTTCCTAAACACCCAGTATATCAGAGACATAAAAGTCTTATGCTCCTCACTTTAATGAAACAACTGTGCACCAGCACAGACAGCCAGAGAAGATCCCCAGAAGCAAAGTCTGACACATATCCTTTGATTCCCTTCTCCCACTGTGCTGCACTGCAACCTCCATTCCCATCATGACAGTTAAACTGATGAAGCAGGTACAAAAATATATTAAAAAAAAAAAAATCAAGATAATCTTGAAGGAATCTCTTATGACAGGAGCCCAGAAATCCTCAAGGACCTTAAAAAGAACGTTGTGCATCAAACCAGACAGCCAAAAATTATTATAACTCAAAGCAGCATTCATCACCCTGATCAAAGCCATTTGACAAGAGCACTACATACACTGCAAGCAGAAAATAACGTATCATCCCTTTTAAACACCTTTCACAACAATACAGAGCTAAGAAAATACTCCCTCTCAGAGAAACGCTCCAGGAGCCATTTGAGAACTGTGACAGGAAAATTGCAAATAGATGCCTGCAGGAGTACACATTTCCTAGTGCCAGGCAAACAGGAGATACCTCAGCACATTACTTCTTCCACTCAACACTTACAGCCTCTCTTAGCTGTGAAAAAGTGTCTGTTCTTGTAAGAGAAAACACATGACTCTGCATGAAACAAAGCAAAACCATTTTGCTTTCAGTTCTACTTTAGGAGGAACAGGCTGATGTTGAAACACAGGAAGAGCTTACAAACCCAAAACACAGCAACTGCTGACCTAAGTGGATTTGTTTTGTGTGGCTGTCAATCTAAATGTATTACAGCAATTACACTGAACAACCAGAAGCTATACTTACCAAGGAACATGTGTCTTTTAAAGATGAAGGAAATAGCCCAAAATATTTGAGAGACTTGGGTATTGCCCATTCTATAAATAGTAGTAAGAGCACTGCAAACTGGCCAAAGGTCAGTCACAGCATTTTACCAGGAAATAGAGCAGGTTTGCAGACATTTAAACAAAAATCCAACGTCTATGTGAGCCATGACTGCACACACTGTCCAGTTCCCCTGCTCATACTTCAGTGAAGCTGAATAAAATTTCTTAGAGTTTAAAGGAAAGTGGGGAGGAAGCTACTGAGGTAGGAGGAGCCTAAAGCCACAATGGCACTGTCCTCTTGTGAGAGAAAGAGCAGAATTCCCAGAATGCATGAAGGGATTTCCTCAAGTTTGCCAGCAAGGCCAGTCCAGCCAAAGCCCACAGGGCCAAGCAGCACCTCCAAGCAGGGCCATGGTGATGCAAAGGGACGGGGAAAGCAGCAGACTGGATCAGGATCAGAAGTCACCAAGTGCCCAAAGCAGTGCTAACAATGTTCCAGCCACGGGGCTAACTCAAGGGGAAGGGGCTGAAGGATTCTTGGAGCAGCTGTTGCCAAGAAGGGCGTGAAGAGGACATCAACACAGTCCTGTGCTCTGCAATGAGCAACTGCTTCACAAAGCACCCAGGAAGAAATCCCTGACACCCCAGCCAGGTGGAAGGAGGTGCCAAATCTACACCACTGGCAGCTCCAGAGTCCTGTTCTCTTCCTGTTCCAAGTGCAGATTGGGCAACAGCAGGATGTCAGGACATGATTCACTCCAGACATCTGGTACAAATCAAGGCAATCACAGAAGCTTAACAGATTGCTACCAAACCTAAAGAATGACACTGAATACTGTGACTCAGCATTTTTTAATACATTTTACCCCTCATTTCCCTATATCCTTCCTATCTTGTCTGGGTCAAAAAAAAAAATAAAAATCAAACTTGTAAAATCTCTGAGGAAGGGACCACCTATGCCCATAATAATAATTACTGATAAGCTTTAATTAAAGCTGAACTCAGCCCCCTGCAAGCTCCTCCAACCCCAAGCAAAGCCATCCAAAACAAAAAGGGGCTCAGACTTCCAAGAGTTTTGCACCTTCGGCTAAATCACAAGCTCCACTCACTAATTAGAAATACTTTCACATACTTGGCTTTGCACAGGGCACAGATATGCAGGTAATTCCAGCCCCCAAAACTCTTGTAATCTGACACAGACAAAAAGCCACAGCATGCCAAGAAAAAAAGGAGAAGACGGCTCCTTGAGAAAAAAACGCCCCAAAAAAACAACCCAAAACTTATAAGAAATTCTGCTCTTTCACTCATCTGGGAACTGCTAAGCAATGAAAATGAAACCTGCCCATCTGTACAAATTCCCCTCAACACAGAAACCGCAGACCAGGCTGGCTGTGTCCTGCTGAGGAGTTCATACCCACAGGCCAAAGGAGCTGCTTTGTCAAGGAACCAGAACGCTCAGACTGTTCCTCCACAGTCACACCAGCAGTCCTTTGCACCAGGAACAGAAACTTGTTCAGAGTTAGAGACGGTCCCTTCTTCCCCATCCAATGACTTCCAAGCACCAGGCTGCTCCAGGAAGGTCTCCAAAGGTGACAGTCACTAGATTTATGTGTCTGCCTGCTTCTACTCTAAATATTTTCATTCTATTACAAAAAGAAAAACAAAAAACTATTTGATCTGTCAGCTCCTCCTCAGACTCCTGCTGAGCGTGGATGACTCTTGTTATCCTGTTACACAGGAAAAACACAAGCACAATATAGGGAAACACGGCATGAATTACCTCAGATGAGTGTTCAGCGAATACACACACAGAGCCCATGTAATCCCCTAATTATCTATCACAGTTCTTACTAGTTTGGGATCTAATAAAAATAAAAAGCCACACTGAGCACCTTTACAAGGCCCTGACATTATCCAGAGATGTAGTGTCCCGGTTGTGGGTTCAGGCATGCCCAGATCCCGGGAGCACAGCCTGCAGGTTTGCACAGGCAGCCCTGGTGCAGTGTGACACTGCTGTGCTGCCTGTGCAGTGAGAGACTGACCTCAACTCGCAGTCTCAGCTGGCCTAATCTGGTTTTAAGAAACTGGGAGGGCAGGAACCCAACAAAACCACCTAACAAAAAAAAAATTAGTCACATTTTTTCTTCCTAAATTCAGCAAATGTCACCAGGTGCAAACAAGAAGGCGCTGACAAATCAGAAGGGGAGGTTTTTCACACCAGCCTGCCTTGGTACAGGGCAGCCTATCCACAAGGTTTACCATCACCTGTTACACTCTGCACAGTCGAAGTGTTTTGCCTCAGTGGGTAGCCCTGCCAGCTACCTCTAATGAAAGACAAGAGGCCTAAAAAGGAAGACAAGAAAATGGGAAGAGAGAGGTTGCAGAAATCTAGAGTGCTAGAATGCTACTTTTTATACAATGCATTTCCCCAGTGTTTCTGTGTAACACCAGTGGCACAGAAAAGATCTCCAGGAATACCTGTTGCAAAGTTATCCTAAAGAAGACACTGAACAGCACTAAACTCATGTAAAGAGGTTGCAAAAGAGAGGAAAGAAAAACCCCCACACAGAAAACCCCTTCTTTTTAAATAACACCTTTTAAGATGTTATGCTTCCACAGGCAGGTGAAAACAGTTTCAGTCTGATTAGTGACAAGAAGTTATAACAGAACAAAAACCACTCTTCCTCACAGGTGGACTTTTGCAAAAAGTCCTTTACCAAAAAAACAAACCAAAACAAAAATTTCAAAAATAATTTCCTGTCGGGGAATCACTTTGCTCTTTCCTCCAACAAACACTTTAACCGTTTTGAACAGATAACAAGTATCTCATGACGAGATTATGGCCCAGAGACATAAAGAAAAGCTCACCATTTCTGAAATAAGCATTGACTTTCTGAATGAAGACTTGAGTTATTTAAATAACTCTGAGGCACTACACCTTTTTTTTTTTTTAATTAAAGCTACAAAATAATATTGTTTAAAAAAAGATAAGAACATCTCCCCCTCACCAAACCCACCAGCTTCCGAGCCACTGTCACTCCACTGGTACATCACCAGAGCATATAACTTACAGAAATACTCTTTAAGGAAGGAGAGCTGCTCACTCCCTTCACTTCCACTTCACACACTGCCAGTGTCCTGCTCCAGCCAACACATCCGTGTGTCACGGGGAATGTGAGCGCTGCTCACGGGAAACAAAGGGACACCTCAACAGGCAGCCACAGACACCTGCAGCTTTGGGGCAGGCAAGGACAGAAAAGCTCACCCTGAATTGACTCGCCTGTATCAATCATCGACTCTTCCTAAAAAACTGTTAGCGCTACTTTTAGAAATCTTTTCTCGCCTCGCTTCCTTGCTGGAGCTGCCACTCCCACATCCCTCTGCTGCTGGAAGGCTGAGGCAAGCGCTCGTCCCTCTGGAGTCGCCACTACAGGGTTAACTCCTTCCTCTCCCCTGCCCAGCCAACACCGCTCGTGTCTAACAACTCTCACTAGAAATTGAGGGCGAGATGGCTGCACTTTACCACACAGTCCAAAGGCAAAGAGAACTTGCTGCGGTTTTATGAAATAGCACCTGAGCGGGAGGGAGGCCAGGGAAGAGGGGGAGGCGCGGAGCCGCTCGATCCCGCCGGGAGAAGCAGCAGCAGAGGGGCCGGAGCCGATGGCAGAGCGGGGCCATCCCTCCCAGCACAGGCGAGGAGGGACGAGCGGGACAGCGGCTGAGCAGCAAACCGAGCAAAGGAACAAACAACCGCACCGCTGAAACGCGAGGCCGGTTTCGGCGGGCAGAAAGGAACCGCGAGATCGGCCGGGAGGCGGAGGAGTTTCCAGCACTCAGAAAAGAAAGCAGAACGCGCACACGGAGCCCCTTGGGGTCACTGCACCCAAACAGGCTTGGGGGGCTGCGAGCTGCAGCCGGCACCTCCGGCCCGGCGCTGATGCCCCGCGGCCCAGGAGCCGACGGGCCCGACCTCGCCACAGCTGCACCGGCGCTTCCCGGGCGGGCCCGCGCAGCGCCGAGCCCCGAGGCGCGCCCGCGACGCCGCCCATGCACAACCCGCGAGTTTCACGCCCGACGCCGTGTCCCCACCGAACCGATCCCGAGGAACCACAGGTAACACTCACCGGCACGACGGAACTGCCGCTCTGCAGCGTTCGGCGCTCCCCGCCGCGCTATTTGAGCGCTGGGCCGGGCCGGCCCCGCCCCACGGGGGGGAACGGGGGGGAACGCGCGGCACGCGCTCGGTGTGGGCCCGGCCCAGCGGCCGCGCGGGCTGAGGGCGTGAGGGCTCGGGGATCCTCCCGGGAATCGCGCCGGGCCTCGGCATCCGCCCCGGCCCCGAATCCCGAATCCCGACAGCCATCCGAGTTCTGGAAGGCTGATGGGTGCCGACCTGCTGGTGCTGCTTGGCCAAAGGCTCCTCGCACCTCATTTATAGTTACTTCTCTCCCTGCCAGATGAATGCAGGTTTTTCGCTTAAAATCGTTTTAGGGGCTTAAAATCACAGAATCACAAAACTAATTAGGTTGGAAAAGACCTCTGAGATCATAGGCTCCATCCTGTGACCACACAAACCATGGCACTCGGTGCCACATCCAGCCTTTCCTTAAACACTTCCAGGGACAGTGACACCACCACTCCCTGGGCAGCTCACGCCAATCTCTAATCACCTTTCTGTGAAGAAACTACTCCCAGTGTTCAACCCGAACCTCCCCTGGTGCTATTTAAGATTTGGTGCTCTCATTCTCTCACTTGTTTCCTGGGAGAAGACACCAGCCCCCACCTTGCTACAACCTCCTTTCAAGTCTAGTAATACAGTCCTACTTCAACTAATTCCTATTTAATATAGACTTACAGTTAAACATAGCTCTATTTAGAGCAATGCTTAGCTGGTATTCAGTACGGGTGTCCTTCCTAACATGGCCAGTGACGGTGCCACGCTCAGGCTTTGGATGGCCCCATGAGGTGTGCCAAGGGTGCTTTTTAAAGTTGCTGGGATTCTCCAAAACAAACTGAATCAATTCTGATTCAGGTTTGAGTCATGTTGGTCAACCCACCGGGTGTCTTCCTGCAAGGAATGGTGTTAAAATTTCAGGGAACTGAAGTTTCTGTTTCCTCAAACTGTTTAGCTTTGTCCTGTAAAGTCAGCACTGTCCCTCTCTCCTTTCTGCACAAAGTGTGGGGTTTGGTTTTCTTTTTGAGAAATAGCTTTGAGGCTCTTTATATCTTTCTATTTCTGTTGTCTGAGTAATGAGTTATATATTTGTACAGAACATGTGAATAATAAAACGGAGATATTATCTTTTGCTTACAGAAACTCATGTGATTCCTGCACTTGAGACACGCAGAAAACCACCACACACTCAGCAGGTGAGGAAATACTAGTTTATCTACTTTCCTGATATCTGCAGGCCCTCACACTCTTCCCAAGGTGCCAAGGCAACCCGGGTACTTTTTCTGGAGCTGGTTTCTGGAGCAGGGAGGTTTTTTGTTCCTTATTTTGAGTGCTGTGTAAAAGATGCAGGCTAAGGAAAGACGCAACTCTTCATCGTACCCATCAAGTAATATCTATAAAATGAAGCATAAATCTATATAATGATGCATAATATCTATAAAATGAAGAGGCCCCTTCTTCCCTGTGGCTCCAGAAGGAGATGCAGTCACATGCCAGCATTGCTGCTTTCACCCATTGCCACCTATAGGGTCGTTCTTCTGGTAACTGGTCCGTTGCTACTGATGCTTAGGATTTACAGCAGGAAGATACACTCAGGCAGGACCTGCTGGAATTCTTAAGAGATGTGTAGCCAGGTAGAATCCCTACAGGATTAGGTTTGCATTCTCCAATACGTGGGACTTAAAAATGCAATTGCTAATGTAGCAATTGCTGTCACAGCACTGATGGTGAGGACTTTTCAAAAAAACCCTATAAAACGTGAGGGAAGCCAGAGTGGCAGGGGGTTGTAGGCATGACTTTCCCTTAGTTATTTTTCCTGACAAGTTACATTCATTGTCTTTAACCAGGCCGAGTACAGTCAGGAAGGCTGTATAAGATAAAATATATCTGCTGCTGCCAGAAACAGGCTTTGCATACTTCTGAATGAGCCCACTGACAACCTTCCTCCTGTGCTCCTGAGAGCAGAAGGAACATTCACCCTCCCACCTCAGTTATTCCGTGCTGTTCCTCACCTCTGCACGGAAGGCAAAGAGCTGGGGAGGGGCTGTGGTTCTGCGCCAAGGGGAACAACCCAGAGTGGGCGAGGCAGCTTCATGGGCATGGAATGCCACCTGTGGAAAGGTGGCATTCTTCAGACGCTTCTAAAGGCTACTGTCATTATCAAGGGAAAAGAAAAACAGCAGCTGCCACCAGGCTGGGCTCCTGGGGCGGGGTTTACTTGTTAGAGGGTCTTTTTCTGGTGCAATTTCTTAGACACGCGAAGCTAATCTGTGCAGGAGCACTCGTCTTGGAGGGCCAGCATGGGTTTTTGCCCAAGCTAGCAACAGATAAATTTCTTCCTAGATCCGTTGTTCCATCCACAGTTTATAAAACAGCAGAATGTCTTTGTTCCTAATTGGGATTGAGGACTAACAAATTTGCAGTGTAACTTAAAAAGCCATGATGAAATGTTGCAAGACTGGTCTCCTCAGCTGTGGATGTGAGCCAGCCTCCTGTGTCCCACAGTCCAGCAGTTGCTTTCCAGAAACTTCATTTTTCTTTTGGCATCAAGTGACAAATCCTCATGGCCTGGCTTTTTGACAGCAGAAAGATGCCCCACCCCTGGGATTTTTCTCATTCCTACTTTTATTTTTTTTTTTTTTACAAAAGCTTTCTCCCATTACTGTTTTTATTCCCGCTACTATTTGGGAGTGAGAGACCAAAAGAACAGGAAGAATTTTAAGGTTTGAAACGTACTCAAGGAGCTGCTGCCCTACTGAGCTGCACAAATAAAGCAGCCAGTGCTGTCATTCCTGCCACCTCCTGCAGCACAGCCTGCTGGCCCAGCCTCCAGGCAAGGGGAAATCCGAGGCCTGCCATCCCTCTTGCTGCACTGATAGGTTTCCTTTCATCACGCCACCATAGGAACACCAGGGTTTATCCTTTGTTTTTGAAAACAGTTGAGTGAGCAAAAAAATGAAACACATTGTTTGGGATTTCCCCGGCTTTGATTTCCCCCATCATCCTGTGTGAAACTTCTGCTTCTTAAAAAAAAAAAAAAAATTTCAAAGAAGTCAGCAGAGAGGCTGACTCTGTTCAGAACTGTTCAGTCATTCTGCCATTAAGAATTAATTTACTGAATCCTGCTACACCAGCATCAGCTGTTCAGCCTACCACTCCAATCTGAGGAAGTGAGCTTCAGCTACAAAAATGAAATTCTAGTTTCTACAACCCAATTTATATTACCTTCATCCCTTCTTGGCTATTTACTGTAACTTCTCTTCACTAAGAATCTGAAGAAACAATGTAGAATATGTACATGTGGGGGTGTATCACTCATTTCTTTGCATTGGATAATTCATTCAGTGGCTGAGAATGAGCCAGCAAAAGAGAAATTGAAGCCATGCCCTTTAACACCCAGATTTATCTCTAGATCACCTTTTCTCAGGTCCTCATCAATCATCAACCAAGGAAGTGACAACAGAGGAAATAAAGTATAGCGCCACCAACAAAAAATAAAAAATAATTAATGACTTTATTTTTTTTTTTTTTAGTTCAGTTGGCCATCTGAGGTGCTAAAATCTCAACACCAATGAAGCAAGTGTGCATAAAAACAAACGATAAAACACAACCAAATAGAAGAAAACAGGCTGGAACAGAGTTGGTTTTGTACAGGTAGGGTATTTGCTTTTCTGTTAACGCTCCATACATGCCAACCGTAAAAGCCTTGAACAATCTGAATATCAGAGTTCACGTTCATACAAAAGGGAAGATGCCAAGGCAAACTCCCTTTGCCTGGATTAGACTTCACACACACACATGCATGCACCCACAGATACAGAGTATTTAAATTACTGCAGTGCCATCAGAACATGGCATCCTTCCCTTCACACCTGCATCTGCCTGCTACCCTGCCTAGTACCTGCCAAGCAGTCCTTGAACAATCCAAAAGCAGGAACTTTTGGAAAGCTTCTCATCTCTGTTATTTTGCAAAGGTCGACAGCCAGCGATCTCTTTGTGAACTATATACAGGCTGGTTTTTAGTACTTAGAGCTTTAGAGCTCTCTTCCTTGCAGACAGTGACAACTGAAATTCCCAATGCAGCTTTTCAGTTTGTACACGGGAGATTTTACAATGCAACACCTCTCTCAACCCACTGGTGTGTGGTGTAAACACTTAATGGAAAACTCATTTTAGAAGAATGTTAACCAAAAAAGGTGTAGCTGCTCACAAAAGGGAACTGCTGGCTGCTCTAGATCATGCTGTCTAGACCACTTAGAATATTTCATAACATTCAGGATTAGGATGTATAAAAATATTAAAACCCACCAGAGTGCACACAAATGTGGTGACTAGCTCTACGCAAGCACCGTGTTCTAACAGAGGCCTAGGCATTGCACAAAACTCAGATTCTTGACCGTGGGAGCACCCCAAGGATCCACTGGTGCCTTTACATACAAACAAATATTTACAGAAAATGCAGAGACAGAGAGAGAGAAGGACAGACTTTTAAAACTTGCGGTTTGCTCTAAAATATGTTCAGCAATGCAGTTTATAACATGCCCTAGTGAGACCAGGGGGTATTGGTTAACTGAAAGAAGGAATATGTCTGAAAAGTTGGAGCTGAAATGTCTTGTCACCTCCCCACACATTAGTTTTCTGAAGCTCAGAATTTTACAGCCAGTTGTGACTTTTAATGAGAATATGGTTAAAAGGAACAGAACAGTTAAAAAAAAAAAGGTACTGTGAAAACAGCAGATTGGTTGTTCTGGCAGTCCTCACTCCCCCACCTCCATTTGCCTCTTGGAAGTTTCCTTCCAGGAGCTGGTGTTCCCCTCCCTTCCCCGAAGGGGGCTGAAGTGCTTGCCCCATCCTCAGTGTGCCCATTTCTAAACGAACACGGCTCAGGTTCCAAGCTCGGCTCTCTTCCCACCTGCTGCCAGGATGAAGTGGGCAGCCCCGGGTCAGGACCATGGCACCTGGGCACAGCCAGCCACCCCTGCATGCCCACATCTCGGGAGCTGAGGGTCTCTCGGCTCTCCTCACACAGGAGATGGACACACGTCATTGAATGCACATGGCTGAGTCACTGCTGCAGCACAAAGAGCTACAAACGTCCTGCTCGGATTCGGATACAAATGAGGAATCTTGTGCTCAGTAAGAGCCTTCTTCAGCTTTAAAAATACAAAATTTGAATTAAAAAGATTCAGAGTAAAAAAACCCACTATCTGATATGCAAGTCATATTCTTAAAGTGCAACTGAACAGCAAATAACAAGTTGTGCCTTTTACAACCATTTTGATATAAAAAGGCCTCTTAATATTCCCTTTTGTGAGTGCGATGTTAGCTCTTCGTTTTCATTATCGCTGCTGGAGGCCTTCAGCACAACCCAAAGATTTTAGGGCTAGGATATGTGGGTTTTCTGTGCAATAAGGTATTACACCTTCAATCTCACTCTTCAACATTGCAAAGATCTCCCTTAGCACGAAAGGGAAATGAAACCATCCGGTGTTTCTTCTTCAGGACTTTTTTCTGTTCTACAGCTCACATTCAATGACCTTTTGTTCCAAGTTAGATGTGGTCCATATACCCAGTGCACTATAAAATGGACTGATTCTCTGCACGAGTCAATTTACAGTAAACTTTCTATCTTTCTTGCCTCTTCCTGCACTCCAGTTTCCACTGGCCCCCTCAAACTGTGTAAATTACAATTGCCAGTTTGACTTGGGCAGGAGGCCCTGCACCAGCAAACAGGAGGGAATTCTGTTTGTTGGACATCCTGCTGGTAAAGCCAACACTCTGGGATGCTGATATGGCAGGTACCACTTGCTAAACACACACAGTTATGAAGTAGCAACTGCAGCTGCCTGCCTGTCTGCTTGGTTTCACGAGTATCTGGATTTAATTAGTAATGCCTTAGCATAAAACACTAGGTGGAATAAAGGGAGAACTCTTTGGGTGGAAAACACGTGTTTCCACAGTTAGCAACCAGCACTGCTCAGTCCCCATGGACACTCCTACCCATTCTCCCTCAGCCTGGGGCATTCTCCCAAGCCAGAGGTGAATTCAAATCATAGACCTTGGTTTACAGGAGATCCCTCTGAAGGAGGTAAAGAGCCAACAAAAAGAAACCATGCAAACTTCTGTGCCAGGGCAAAAGGACTGAAGGATGTTCAGCCCTGCTGGGGTGCCTCACACTGGCAGTGTCAATTCAAGCTGGAAGAGTCAGTGCTCTGTACAAATGTGCTTGGGAACGGGACACGTTGTCAAAGATGTCACAACGCAGGCTTGGTACTTCTTTAACAGGAAAAGAACACAGTCAGCATCCCAAGGAGGGAAACCCTTTGGACACATCATGTGATGGATGGGATGCATCCCCAGTGCACGGTGCTGTTTCAGCTCTGCAGAGTAAGTTAAGGACACGCTTTGCCCAGGGAGTCTGTCCCACAGGGAATGGTGCTGAGCTGCTCAGTGCATATCCTGCCCATCAGTTGTCATGTGGTTACAGTCAGGACCCTCCTGGCTGAAAAGCAGCAGATTCACTAACTGGGCCAAAAGGAGCTTCTTCCAATAGATGCAGCAGGAAATGTGCTATTTTTGTTTGCATGGAAATCCCTCGAACTGTAACTGTGAGGATCCCCTCTTTCAGTGAGGAAGAGACATATGGGATATTGCTACCTCACAGTTCTGGCTTTCTTGTTATAAAAATGTAAAATTTAAATAAATATAGGTTTGTTAGTCCAAAAGAGAGAATCTGGGATGTGGAAGAAAAGGACACTAAGAACACAAATAGATTCTTAAACTCCATGAGTGCACAGGATTTTTTCATAGAGGAAAACTCCTAGGGCAGGATGCATCCATGGGTACATAAAGGCTGCCCTTGCTGTGAAGCAGGGACTAATCCGCAGTAGTGTCTTTCTCTAACAGAGTTAAAACACTCCCTCCACAATCAAATATGTGTAACAATCAAATTATTAATAAGAACACTAATAAATAGCCACAGGTAACAACGTCCAGTAATTTTGAAGTGGAAGTTGTAGGATGCAGCAGGCACACACACCCATCACTCGTCCATTTTTTTCCTAAAAGATACAAAAATGAATCTTCTTTCAAGTATTAAAAAAATAAGTTAATTGACATAAAAGGGTCAAAGTGACTGAGGGCCCAGGCAGGTCTTAAGCTTTGTTTCCAATGTGCAAAAACAAAATACAGAGGAAAAAAAAAATAAAAACACTGAAAAGTCTTAATGGTGGTTCAGTCACTTAAGGGCTTCTCCCTCTTAGGGGCCTAATAACCAAGGAATGCTGCCTGGGAACATCCCTGCCCCAGCACACACTTACCACTGTCCCACAGCAGTATTTTCCAGTGTCAAAACAGTCACAAAAACAAAACCAGGAAGCCCACCAGTCTCTGAGCTGTGGCCATGAAGACTAAGGCCAGCAGTAGCTGTCTCTCCAGTGTGTAGCAAAGCAGATGGGCATCTTCCCTCTCTCTTCTGCTCCCCTTGTTCACCACAAGAAGATTTAGGAGGCTAAGGTAGGGAAAGAGTCCACTGATGCCCACTTCTCTCCAAAAACCAAGAGGCAGAGAGTTCCATCACACATAGCAATATCTTCTCTCTCTTGTATTTCTTCATATCCATGCATAAGGATCAACTGCAGGTTTCTTTGGTGGGGAGGAAGACTAAAGCAAAGAAGGTGTTGCCCTGGGCTTCTGGAGCTCTCTTGGACAGCTGACTCCACTGCTACAGGTTGCTGTGGTTTTTCAGGAAGGGTTGCCACTTCCCTCCTTTTTATTAGAACTGGTGTAGTAAAAACGGGAAAGGAATGGACTGCCTTAAATCCAATGTAGTTAAGGGTACTTCTTCCCTTAACCTCCTTCCCCACACATGGATTATACCCCCCTCCCTCCTACCACACACACAAAATATGGTCCATCGTATGGGACCTCAAGGAGACTCCACAGTCTCAACTCATTTCTTCAACTTGGCTTGCAGACATGTAAAACTTAAGCTTCTGGAACCCACACACTTATGAAAAGGCTTCTGAGTGCTTCAAACCAAATCCCTGCATGCTGTTGGACCCTTCGGAGGTTTCCCCTTCAACTTCTTCCTATCCATGTAATTCTGGCAAACTCAGGGTAGGCCAACTGGACAGCACAGATCAGCAGAGGTAAACGTGTTAAGCTCAGGACCAGTTCAAGCTAAAACCTTTGGAAAGCATGACTGCCTCCAGGTCCTTGTCTTCTTCTTTTTCTCGAAGCCGCTGCTCCTCAAGGAGAGCCACAAGGGAATCTCTCTGCTCCACTACTTCAAGCATTTCATTCAGGATCCTCTTCTCCTCTGAGAGCTCCTCATCTGTCTTCAGATGATCTACAGAGATATCAAAAACTATCAGCAAACACAAGGCTAGAAATACACACATACAATCCATGAAATATTCCCTTTTGCTCTCACCTTCTACTGCCATCCTCTCACGGAGTTCCTGCTGCAGTCGACTCTGCCTGTCTTCCAGTTCTAGCTCCCGAGCACTGAAAGGAAAAGAGCAGAAACCCAAGGTTCAGGTATATTAAAATACTGCATACATTGCTTCATATTTTCTCAATTTCTGCTCCCTCTCTATATATCTGCTGTGTATTTTACCAATCTCATTTGGAACAACTCTTAAATAACTTAAGATATATAACTGTCTTTTTAAAAGATTTCATTGTGCTTTTAGCATTTCAGGTTCTTTGCCTTCAGCTAGAAGTGCAATGCCAAAAGTGGAGCAAACTAAATATAGAGCAGAGTCAAAGATCAAATAGATCTGCAGTCCCCCTGCCTATCCCCTGCTACTTCCCACTAAAAACCCAAAGTTACTTATTAACAAAGTACTTATTACTTAAGGACATGTTGGGCCATTGCAAACACCAGGTTGGGACTTTTCTGCCTCTAAGGCCATCAGCTTCCACATTGCTTAGATGAGTTAACACACTCTGAAATGAATTTCAGTGAATTTGCACATCGGGAACAGAAAAAAAACCCCAATTTCATTAAAAAGGAAAACACCTTTACCATCTGAGCCCACATGAGAGGCACTGGGGTCCCACTGCAGACAGAAGAGAGGGCCACATGGCAAAGGTGACTGAATTAAATACTTTTGGCTATGCTTAGAAGACAACATTACCAAAACCAGGAGTCTGCACAGCTCAAAAACACTGACATAAACAGGATGTGCTTTATACAAGAACAGCATGAGAAGGGCTCACATACCTGTACTTCTGCATGTGCACAAATCATTGGAACTTTCATCCCTTACCACTATTGTTCCTTCTTCTACCATTCCTCTAAAATGTAGTTGGATTCCTATCTCAGCCTAAGAAGCTGCCAACCTCCTGGACTTACAGGGAAGATAATACTGACAGATTTCCCACTACTATTCATGACAAAATCCCCATTTTTTCCACATTCACTCACAATATCATCAGTTCAGACTCGTAGCGAACCAAGGCATTCTTCTCCTGCACCAGCTTGAACCACTCTTGCATCAGCCTGGGGTCATCCTTTTTACCCATGCCTGCCAAGAAAGAAACCTGGTAAATTTTCAGGTAATGCCCTGCAATCCTTACAAGCCCAAACTGCAAAAACAACAATGGGGCAAAATGTGCAAAGAAAGCCGAGCAAGATGCTGCCAGAGCACTCCCAAGCCGGGTCCATTCAGTTTGCCTACAGCACTCAGTTGAGTGAAAGTCACCTCCAAAAGGATTCTCTTCTCTTTGGAGCCTACTTTTTTTTTTTGTTTTGTTTCTGATATTCTTGTGATTACTTGTTTCTTCCTCATTACTGCAGAAAGCCCAAATTCCTATGAGTATTTGACTTTTCCTTTCATTAGAAGAATTTTATAGATGCTCATGCCAGCTACTTAAACATATGCTCATCAGAAAAGGATTCAGTTGCCACTCCATGTTTTACCTTCATTTTCTTCAATTCCATGTCCTCAAGTTTTGCTTTTACTAGCCAAAAGTAACATCTTGTCTCCTCTTTTTTCAACAGTTAAGTAAATCTTTTCTGACTGCTCCTCTTATCTACATCTATTAATCTTGAAGATCCCCCTGCACAGTGAACACAGAAACTAATTCTACTGTACTGCATAACAGAGCTAGAAAGAAAAGGAACTCCCAGACACATTTGCTAATATGAAAGAAGAATAAAGAAACCTTGGACCTTGACCACCTAGTACAGAACTCTTGTCTGGTCTTTTTATTTTAGAATGAACTCTTAAACATATTAAATAGTTCACTGATGAGTCTTGTGCCTGTCAGGAGTCATGTGGAATAAATGCAGAATGCTGTTCCCAAAGCCTTCTGTTGATATTTAGCAAACACAAGAACTTACCAAGGAGGTTCCTCCTGGCAAGCTCTTGGTCTGGGCCACTTATTCCACACTGAACCACCTGCATCTGAATGCTGTGATTTACATCAGACCCCATCAAGGCCAGTGGCAACGTTCCTGCCTATGTGGAAGTAGAAGCAGGAGCAAGGCCTCAAATCAAGCTCAGCATAACTTTTGGATTGCTGCACGTGACCTAGGCACCCCAAGGTAACTAACACCCCTGTCTCTGCTTGTTGTTATGGATGCATACACTCTACATCAAGAACAAAAGCTCTCAAACAGTCCATCTAATGCTAAAACAATCGACCAGCAACCTTACTATTCAAACTCTTTGACACAGACACATCACAAATACCACATTAATGGCTACTTAATTCAGACCCGTGCCCTGCCTCATCCCCAGTATGTCAGAGCCGTGCCCTGCAGTTACACAAGGGAGAGCCTACAACTCCTAGTAAGCTGCAGCTTGGGCTGCCTTTCAGCTGCCTTTGTCATTCCAGCCCCTCGGGGAATACCAGGCTCGTTGTACCACCCTGAGAGCCCCCTTTATCCCAGTGTGGACTTTATCCCAGTGTATTGCTCAGTTCCAAGCATTCCTTTCTGAGCATCTCTGCACAATATGCCCACGTGGCGACAGGAAAGGGAGACTGTGCATGCAGATGTCCAGTGCTGTGGCGCCATGAAAACACTGGGAAGTCTCCCCTTCCTTTCCGCTGCCAGGATGTAGAGAAAACAAATGCCTCTAAGAAAAAAAAGCCAAAAACACAACGCTACTGACCTATGAAATACGTAAGTATTTTTAAACAGCCAATGAGTAGAGGAATAATGGGAGGATTGGAAAGGGAGCACTGACAATTGATGTGAGGGAGCACCATGGAAAGCAGATAAGTGGTTAGCAAAATTACACCATGAACACACATAAAACAACCCCTTCCCCATGCCTTGGCAATGTAAACTCTACAGCAAACTCCATTTGGGATAGTTAAAGAATGCACTCAGCAAGACAGATGAAGGAAAACTAGTCTAACTTGAGGTCTGTTGGTTTTTAAAGTTCAAGGATGTTTTTCAAATCAGTCCTTATAAAGACACAGTATTCCTTTAATCCCTATTTGCTAATTAAAAGGCCATTATTAATTAAGGAAACAGATTGTCATCCCTTACCCCACCTTCCAAACATCTTTCAGGAGGAATAGAGAAATTGAAACCACCAAATGAAAACAGAAACTTTTGAGTGTGACACTTCTGGTCCCACAGCTGCTGCCCATTGTCCCTCCCAGTCACTGCACCTTCTCTTGCACAGCTGGGACTAGCAAAAGGGATACTGTACCTTTAACAGCTTGCCACAGGCTCAGAAAAGCTGGTTACCAGGTAGCTACACACGAGGTTGGTTTGGGGACACAGCAAGAAAAGGGCTGGGGGCCTTGGTCACTAGCTGACTAGTGGTGCTATGACAACCCAGCTGTGGGCAGGGAGGACACGGGGGGTGTGAGGTTACGTTACCTTCATGGGCACAGCAAGGGCAGAAGGAGAGAGGTCTACGACGTGGTGTCCCGGCATTGGGCTCAACTTCAATAGGACCAAACGAGGAAGAGGAAGAGGCAGGAGAGGAAGAGGAAGTTGGAAGTGGAACGGAAGAGGAGGAAAGGGGTGAAATAAAAGACAAGCAAAGGACAAAAAGCGTAAGAGTGAGAAAGAAAGGAAACACAAGAAGAAAAGAAAAGAAAAAATACAAGAAATGGAGAAGCAGAAACAAGGGATACAGTCTACAGATGAATAATGTCCCTGATAAGCACAGATAACAGGTAAGAGGTAGACTGAGATACTGTGAACTCTTACTGAGCTGTACAAATACCAGGCAGGAGGTTACTGTTACTGCACTTTTCCTAATGTACAGTTTTTTCAGGTGCAAGGTCTTTAACTGAAAGGTTTGTGACCCAGATGTCAGGACGAGTAGAGACATAGATTTAACTTCTGCTGATAAATGTCAGATTTCAAGCAGGGTTACAGTAAGTCTCGCCTGCATGCATAAGACACCACCTGTAAGCAGCCACCCTACCTTGAGCTCTATCAGGACCATGCTCTTATCACCGTGGCAGCATCCACTGATGGTAAAAGTGCCTTTTGTAATGGAATAGAATGTCTTCAGACAGGGAACATCACAGGGAGAATCTGATTACCATGGAACCAGCCTGCCAGGATCTGCTGTGTCAAGTGTGGTGAGTACACATGTACCCCACCAGATTGTTGTGCTTAGGGGGGAAAAGGCTTTTACACAGATAAAAGTGATTTACATCAGGGTCTGCAGGGCCAGTGACCAACTGAGGACTTTGCAGATTTAAACCAGTAAATTTAAAGCTCTCCCTTGGTGTTCTCATTCCACAAAGCATTTTAAAGCTTACAAGTCCTGTTAGTATCAGTGACTTACAGAATCTTTATCATCTTTTCCATCAGCCAGTGAAGGACAAACATTTCTCATCTCTCAAAAGGTTCAGCTGTTTTAACACCAAGAATTTGCTTTTCAGTGGTACTTAACGTTACAGAGATAAACAGTAGGCAGTAACCAATGTCACTAATAGTTACAGGAGAACATACACCAGGGAGATGATGAACTCTGAAACATCAGAGCTACCAGAATGGAACACTTACTGGGCTCAGGGCATAACTGCATTTATAAAGAGGAGGCATTTCTGTGTTGGGAAAAGGCATGAACTCCACAACAACAGTATGGTAAGAATAACACTCGTTTTGGAGAAGTCAGCAGGGTTTGATGTTTGTAGTTCAGAGAAAGTTCTACAAAATTAGAGTACCAGTGAAGTGGGAAGGCTTTAGAAGGGACCATCACAGAACTAGACCAGCACATGGAGGACACACTGGAGCAAGAGGGAGAGCACACCAGCTTCAAAGCCTGTGACTGAGCAGCATGGCTTTCCCAGAAGAAGAAACCTCTGTACTGGAAGCAGGAAGGGGCAACATTAGGAGAGGTGCCACAGCTGGCCATAAGACAGCTACAAATAAAGCATCGTACCAACAATACTTGAGATCAAGTACCAGAATATTAATTACAGCTGTTCTGAATTTTCCAACTTCTTTATCTAAAATGGAAAACTACTAAGGCTTTTTTCCTATAACTGCCATTTCACAGATCAGGTTACAAAAGCAAAAACAAACAAGAAAACCCCAAACCACAAAGATACAGTGAAGAATATGCTTGCACACAAAGCAGAACATTTAGTGCATGATATTTGTTAAATATTTTTTATTTCCCACCCTATCTTATTAGAAATTAATTCTTTCAGCTAAAAACTTTAGAGCTCTAACTTGGTCTAAACACTACTTTGAGGGTGGTCAGGGAGATGGAGGTTTAACTGTATGGAAAAATCCACTTCTTTCAGGGTTTGAGATTTCATTTAGAACTGGGAGCTGGGGGATTTGATACATTTCAGACCATGGACATAGAGACTTAGTGAGGAACTTCCAGTTAATGTGAAAACATGATCCATCTCATTGTGAAATGGCCACAGATGACTAGCTTTTATCATCAGTAAGCAAGTGAGAGGACACTAGGAGAGGATCCCATCTTTGGTTTCCAGTAACAAGCCCCAGGGATCACACGGCACCTGACTAATACAGAGCTGGCTCCCCACAACTGTATTTTCCTCCTTTGCTCTTAGTTATCTTCCCACTCTTGTCTAAAGAAAAGTTGTCCTTGAATCAAGTTACAAAGTCCATGGTTTCTACACTAGTCCTGCTACTAGAAAAGTCAACATGTTTTTTCAGTAAGATAATAAACATAACCTTTGCAATTAAGATCCTTTCCAGATACTCTAGATGTAAATTACAGTTAATTATAATCGGTGAATACAGGTTATGATAACTGCAATTACTTTGGAAACAATTTCTGTCCAAAGTAGGATGATTAGCAAGGCTTTAAAAAGTCTTCCTTATGTATTGGAAGTCCTTAACAGCAAGAACAAAATGCAACCTGAAAAGTTACTTCCCATGGTTCTCTAAAGCTTATTTCATGCCTTATTGCTCCAAAAGCCATTACTAATCCTACAGTAATTATTACTATTACTATTACTATTGCATTGTTTAGAGAAGATAAATTACCACTTCCTAGTCTCATTAAATTATAAATAGGAACATCACTGCATGACAATTTTTCTGGATGTGGAGCCAGAGCCA